TAATGGAAAAAGTAATAGTGGTAAATCCTTGAAAGATGTCGCAAAAACTCCATACAGTGGAAGTTCATCGGCAGTTCGGATTCCTGCAAATAAAATCCCCGGAATCAACAACATATCATGGAGTTGTCCAAAATGTACATTTAAAAATAAGCCATTGGTATTGCAATGTGAGGTTTGTTTGAACATAAAGCCAGATAAAGATCAACAATCACAGGACTTTGTACCTATTGAAATCTTAAGTTCAGAATGGGATTGTCCAATGTGTACATATAGAAACGAAGGTGATGTGATTATGTGTATAGCATGTGACTACTTGAAGGATTAAATGTTATGTTTTTGTATATTAGGTAGAGTCATTATTAGGTGGATAATCAATATTTTTATGAATTTTATTTGTACGAAACAGTTTTGTTTTGCTTGGACATATGTCTAGCAATTTTGTAAATTTTGGACATATAAACTTATGTCAAATGCAATTTTAATATGTACGTATAAAGTTTATACGTATATGGTCGTATAATTAATCTTTTTTTTTTTATTAAATAATTTATTTAAAGCACCAAATTTAAAGATTATGCAATATTTATTTTTATGAATTGGATTTTATAGTAATTAAGCTTTTAGAGCTAATAAAAATTAATAATTTAAAATCAAAATGTCTTGTAACTTATCTGCTAAATATACATAATACCTGATATAAGTAAGTTTGAGTATTGTACGTACAGTATTTAAAAAACTATTTTTTTCTTGATATCGTTTAAAGTAATTACAGAATTAAGGAGTTCTATAAGCTTAACAGTTAACGTTGCTGACAATCTACAGATTTTTTTGCATAATTATAATTACCGGCAATCATTATCCGAGATCAGGCTACCATTTTTTCCGGATGTTTTTTATTCAGTACATTGTCAGAAACAAACTACTGCTCGACTCTTCTTTTATAAAGTATGGTGAAAAAATGTAAGTTCGTCGTCTATTAAGAGTTTTTATGCATTGAAATCGACAATATTGACAATATATATATATTTATATATGTATTTATGTCATCTGAATTAAGATTATTGTGATTATTGTGATCGAATTTTTCCTGATAATGCTGAGGCTAGGAAAAATCACATAGAAGGGGCAAATCATCAAAATAACGTAAAGCTTCATTATGACTCTTATAAAGGTAATATATCTAATCCTTAAAATAGTTATCACTTGTATGCTTTTTCTTCGATCTAATTAAGACCACTTTAGCTCCTATTGAATTATTATTGGAAAATAGCAAGAAATCTCCTTGTAGAAAATTTCATGAAACTGGATATTGTCCTTTTGGTTTAAGTTGTAAATATTCCCATGTTCCCTATGGAATTGATTTCTCTGTGGTTGACCCTCATCGTAAGCCTAATTGTTATTTTTGCTTCATTAATACTGTAATTAAAACTTCAGATTAAATGTTTCGGTCATGTTTTTTTTTTCGCTTGTAGTATATTTGGCCCAAAATCCTATTCTTCTTCAACAACAACGGCGTCAAGCATTCATGAATGAACAAGGTGGGCAATCATTACAGCAAAAACCAACGCCAATGTTTAAGTATAAGCTTCCAGCTGGTTTGTCATTGAGAGATTTACCACCATCGCTTAGACCTCCTCCACCGATGGGATATGATTTCTCAAAAGCTGCACAATGGGGTTAATATAGTTAATATATAAATCTTTGGTTATTCTTGAAATATACAAAAATCGATCCTTGTAAGAATGAACTTTAATACATAATGTCGACTTTTACTGGGTAAAAGGTATGAAACTGTATTTTAATATTTATTTCGGCAGCTAAAGCGGAATTTAATTCTATTTTAATACAAAAAATATAAAAAAATTTTGAGGTTATATTTTTTTTTCTGCTTTGGTTAAGTTTAGAGTTTGGGTTAAAATAATTAATAGTAAAATATAAGTTCTTAGTAGGTTTTATATTAGTAAAATGCTTAAATTTAGCTTCAGCTGTCACAATTGTTTATTATGAATTATATTTGATCTTGAATTTGACTTGCTTTTCTTATTGATACAATGTAAGTCTTTATATATAGTTATTGTCAAAATATATAAATAATAATTAATATTAATTAATTTTGAGCCTTCATAACACAGTTGGGATAGTTTCTGCAAACTTTAAGAAAAAATTTTTCGTACGTTATAACATCCAGGTAGATCTTTTTAAATAGTGAAAAAAAAAATTGTTTTTTTATATTCTTAGTAAATGTTTAGCACCATATCTGTTATGTATATTATGTTTATTATTTTAATTAGCAAATAAAATTAAGGTTAGAGCATTTTTACTTGGAGCATCAAGCTTAGTATTGGGATACAGTATAGTAGCTATTGTGTCGCGGATGATGCGCCTTAATTTAGAAATATAAACTCTACTACATAAAATCCATCTATACTCTTAGTCCAAATCTGAAAATGTACCTTGAACAAATTTATTAAATAGGTTTTAATTTCGTCATCTATTTTTCTGGTGTAAAACCTGTAAATAATTTTGTATTACTGTATTATGATCTAAGTAAATCTTATCTACGTACATCGTTATCCCAAAATTTGTTAGATAATCCTCGATCTCGTGAGTTTGTCACACTTTCAATAAAGATGTATGCACAGTTTACATTCGCTTTTTTGATACAGAAATAATGGGTTCAAAATCGGTAGATAATGTCGAAAAAAGACGTTATATTTCAAAACGAAGGGAAGACGATCCAGGCTGGGTAGAGGAGGAACCACCATACTACTTTCTTTTTACAACCTACTTGTCATATTTAATTCTTATTTGTTTTGGCCACCTTCGAGATTTCTTTGGCAAAAGATTTAAGAGTAAAAATTATCGTCATTTAAGAGAGCAGAATGTAAAATATACTTTACATTTTTACCTTAATACTTTTGTAAATGAAATCTAATTTGTTAACTTTCCAATATTAAATGTAGGGTTATGCTCCTCTTAATTCTGACTTTGAAAACTTTTATGTTCGTCGTCTCAAACTTCGAATTAATGACGTTTTTAATCGTCCGGTCACTGGTGTTCCCGGTCGAAAGATTACCTTATTAGAACGTAAAACTGATGATTATTGCAAAACATTTCAATTAACTGGTAAAGCCAAAGAATGTTTAAATTTAAGTAGCTATAATTATCTGGGTTTTGCGCAATGTGAAGGTCCTTGCGCTGATGCTGTAGAACAGATTGTAAGAAAGTATGGAATCTCATCGTGTAGTTCTCGAGCTGAAGTTGGTAGGATTTATTGGTTTATTTTATATTAAGATCAAAAAAGATATATATATATATATTATTAATTAATCTTTATTCGGTACTTACAGGCACTTTAGATCTTCACCAACAAGTAGAATCCCTTGTGGCACGATTTGTAGGAAAAGAGGCTGCCATGATTATTTCTATGGGTTATGCAACCAATAGCACTACAATTCCTGCCCTTGTATCAAAAGGTTGTCTTATAATTTCCGATGAACTAAATCATAGTTCCATAGTTTTTGGCAGCCGTCTTTCTGGTGCATTTATTCGAGTTTTCAAACATAATAATATGAATGACTTAGAAACTTTGCTAAAAGAATGTATTAGTCAAGGCCAGCCACGTACGCATCGTCCGTGGAAGAAAATCTTGCTCATTGTAGAAGGTATCTATTCTATGGAAGGAAGTATATGCAATTTGCCAAAAATTCTTGAATTTAAACGAAAATATAAAGTAGGTTTTTTTTAAGATTGTTAGTTAATACTGAAAGATTTCTAACATATAGGCGTGATTTATTTTTTTATTAACTGTCAATATTATTTGTCATCCCTTATATGTTTAAAAGTTTTATCTTTATGTCGATGAGGCACACAGTATTGGCGCATTGGGACCACGTGGTCGTGGAGTATGTGACTATTATGGTGTCAATCCCGATGAAGTTGATATATTAATGGGAACATTTACCAAATCATTCGGAGCGGCTGGAGGGTATATAGCAGCCGACAAAAATGTAATCGACTATTTACGTCTTACATCTCATGGATCGATATATGCTGAATCAATGACTCCTCTTGTACTACAACAAATTTATACATCTATGTCAATTATAATGGGTGAGGATGGAACAAATGAAGGTCAGAAGCGTTTAGAAAGCTTGGCTTTCAATGCTCGTTATCTCAGCACAAATCTAAGACGATTGGGCTTTATTATTTACGGTGATCGTGACTCTCCAATTATTCCTCTTATATTATTTAATCCCGCAAAGATTCCGTGAGTATTATCGCTTTCTGTCTAATTGATCTTTTATTTAATAATTTGATATTATTCTGATTATCATTGTCATCTATAATTTATTTCAGTGCATTTTCCAGAGAGTGCCTAAAACGTAACATTGCAGTAGTAGTCGTTGGTTACCCGGCAACGCCGATGATTTCATCACGTGCCCGATTTTGTATTTCCGCTGCACACACAAAAGAAGACTTAGACCTCATATTACGAGCATGTGACGAGATTGGTGATATTTTACAGCTTAAGTTATCAAGCAACCAAAAAAGACTACCACTTGAAGAAATATTGAAAAATGGTGAAGAAGGAATATAAATGCAACAAACAAAACCTTAATTATTAAAATAATCAAATTATATATTAGAAAATCGTAATATTATTTAAAAAAAAAAAAGAAAGATCTAGATTGTGATCTTTTTTAATTTGATGGAATTGATTTTACTAATTTGATTTAATATTTGTATATTGTCATTTTACATATAGAATTTTCTATTTATCTATATACATGTTTTTTCTTTTATCTGAGAGAATAATTATAATGATTAAACAACGAATGCTGACAAAAAAAATTTTATAACAGTTGTTATTTGACTTTCTAACACATTAATAAATATCGAATTACCCATAGATCTTCATAAAATTCGAAATACTCAATATTTACTGTAAAGGTAAATTACTGCAACTTGCAGTATAATTTATCTGTTGCATTAATTTAATTAATAAGGTTTTGGGTTTCTGAAACAGTTTCAGATTAGTATTTTCAAAAGTATTTTTGGATAAAAAGTATACTAAAGACGGACATTCGATTAAAAATTGATCACAATCTCTAGTAATTTCTAGTCAATATTTCATATTCATTTAAAATATATATATTTTATTAACATTTTAAATTTAATACAGAAATTAGAAACAATTGCAAAAATAGATGTAAAAAATAAATGTAAAAAATATAGAATTCAGATAGTAACAATAAAATTTCAGAGTTGTGCTATCTATTGATAGTGGCGTAATTTAATCTTCATCTTCATCTTCTTCTGCTTCTTCTAACCATTTCGCAAATGGCTTTGCCTTGTTGCGAATATCTTGGTTGATTGCAGCATCAACGTAGCTAACTGAAGCATTTCTCTTAAAGAGATTTCGATAAGTCTTGGAACTATCACCTTCGAGCCACGCTTGGAACACTTCTTCTTCAAGCAAATCATTTTGATAATATCCCATCAAAATGCTGCAAACAATCTTACTTTCAAACAAATCTTTATGTTCAGAGACGAGTACTTCGGTAGCTCCTAAAAGAGCCCTTTGATCATCAGGATTTTGGAGAAACTGTTAAAAGAATAAACCGTGTCAAATTGTAAATAAAAATATTAAAATAAAGTAAATCATAAATTATTATTAAATATTACCTTTTGTAAAAGTTTAGCCTTTTTGTGAATATGTTTATTAATGGTGGACAAGTTACTCTGGAAAATTTTCGCAAAGAGGCCAAGCACAAGATGTTTCAAGACCTGATCAGTTTCTTTGGCAATACCGAGTTCCTTAATTTTCTTATATATATCATTGCTAGAGGCTGATGTAGCATGTTTCTCCAACCATTTATCGAGTTGTTCGTAAGGATCTCCACTCTCTTCGTCTGAACCGCTTTCGTCTAACAGAAGTTTAGAAAATTCTTTAGTACGTTTTGCAACAGCTTCCGCGGAGGTGTCAAGAACCCAATCATCATCATCCCTATATTCATCTGCAGTAGGAAGACTAGCAGCTTCAGCCTCGATGCGACGAGTAAGTTCATCATCCGTTCCTTCTTCAGAAGAGCCTTTAGCAGTGGGAGATGCTTGCTCATCGTCTTCACCTTTCTTGGTTTTTTTGTCCTTCTTAGTGCCTTTAGATTTGGGAGGAGTAGGCGGATATTTCAGGATGTAGGTAACAAGCTTGTGACGCATATCAACATCAGTTCGTTGACCGCAGGCCTTGCAATCACGGATAATTTTCTGACTATTATTTTTACCGATAATAATCTATAAAGGAAATTAAATAATTTAGTATAATTACACATTTAACCTTCTAAACTTACGAACGCAAAATCATAGTTATAACATACTAAATCAGTTTCGGGGTTATTACAACCGGCGCAAAGAACAAATTTTTTAATGAAGACGTCGAGCAATTCTTGGAGTCTAGCGGCTTCGTGTGCGCCATTAACAATATAACGATCGGTTTTTTCGTCACATTTAACTTGAGCACCAAGTTCACATCCGAAGAATTTAGTGGGATCTATTAAATGACAACCAAAGAATACGCTTTAATATTTGTTAAACTCAAAATTTAAATTTAGTATAAAAACCACTTTTCCATCAGGTTGATTAATAATACGTTATTAGCAATCTCAATAGCACCATGTAACTGACGTCCTTTATACCAAAATTAGCACCATGAATTCATTACTTACATGTCGGTGGTCGACTCAAGGAACGCGCAATATCTGACATATTTGGGACTACAGTTTTGATTCCATTACCTTTGCCTTCAATCTGCAAAGTTAAAATGAATTCGTTAATTTAATCTTTGATATAGTATATTGATATCATGAATCCACTATAAAAACGAAATAATTAAATTACCTTAGAAATAAGTTTAGGCATTTTATACCGATAAAATCGGTCTTGATTGTTTCCTCCGATATTAATAGTAGCCATAATTGCAATCTAACTTTTATAACGCTATGAAATTATACGAAAACAGGTGAGGGCAGAAAAAGTACAAAATTTTGGAAAGTATTCTAATGTGATGTAGCGTCTTCCGTATATCGCAAATCTCCAACTATTTTTTTTCCCTTAGGTCATTGACCTCTTACGTTTATGTCTTTGTGAACGTTTTCTATGTAAAACTTGTAGACGCTGCTTTTGATTTTGACTGCTTCCAAGTGATGAACAAAACATGAAGCGGTTGGTTCGCAATATTAGTTGTGTGAGAAAGAAAAAAAGCCGTCCTGATAAAGTTGCTGGTTTTTAGTTGAACCTGTTAAAAAAACGGACCAGAAATAATATATATTACTATAGATTATTATTATTTTTTTTTTCTGGAAAAAAAAAAAAAAAAAGTGCCTATTTATACTTAAACATGCATTACCATATTGGTAGTTGTCATACTTTTGTCATATCAAAAAAATCAATGTCGGCTTTAAAACCACGGAAATCTGATAAGAGAAATCTCCGTTAAAATGATTTAACTGGCTATTTACATGTGATCACAATGCTGGTTATTTATTATACCATATAAGGATAACGGTAAAACGGTAAAATTTTTAAAAATATTTACCCGAGAATTTTATAGTATTGTTGGCCCCTTACTTTGTGGTGGCTTAGCTGTATAGAGAAATTCATTTTTATTGGCTAATCGCCAACAATTCTGGTCGCTATAGTATTTGATAATTTTTTATTTCAAAAAAATTCCCCGCAACAGCTTCATGCTCCAACCCTAGATGGCAAATTATTACTTTAATAAGACTTTATTAAATAAGAAAATTAGCCAATTATAATAAAGCCCACTATACTCTATACAAAAATATTTTCTCGGATTTCCGGATACGGAGAAAAAAAATTATTATTTCCGATTATTTCTTATCATTTTTTGCGTAATAAGTAATAATAAGTGAGAATTATGATATAAGCAAAAACTTAACCTGATCAGCAAATTATTGAGTTTAAAATTTGCCTTCCAGATTACATTTGTAAAACGTGATAAGTAATAATTATTCGCATAGAGAATAATTAGTAATAATATGTATGTGTAAATATCGGGGTAAAAAATACGTAATTAATACTTACATTATTACCTTGCCCATCTTTAATTCTAAATCTACAATAATTTCGTTCCGCCGTACAACATATCCAAATTAGAAATTTATTCCCCGGTTCATATTTATACTTCTGTACTATTCCTTCTCACTTATTGCCCAGATCTCAAATTCGGGCTGATCTGGGATTTTTATAATTCTTTTTGATTATATATCTTTTTTACTTCTTTCTAATGATATACGAAATTTTTAAACTATTTTAAACTATTAGAGTTACAAAGAGTAAAAAGTTGCTGGCTAAAAATAAAAAATAAAAAATAAAAAATAAAAAATAAAAAATAAAAAATAAAAAATAAACGAAGGAAGTTTTGTGATCTGTAGTAAGCTAGACTTTATGAAATACGTGATTTTACTTTGAAGAAATAGTATAGAAATATAAAAGAACCTGGGAATAAATCAGTTATTATCCGGCAGGTATGACGTATACATGACGGAACCATATTATTGCCCAAATAAACCTTTTTTAATTAATAAATAATAAGAACTGATAAATCGATGATGAATATATATATAAATGATAAAATGAACGAGTTTGTTTTGATTTTTTTAATAATAAATAATAAGAACTG